TCTCCAGAGTCAACCATTTTGAATAATATTGCATGAGTTCCTTGTTTTTCAATGCAGCATAGTATTCCATTGTGTGAATATACCACAGCTTCTTTGTCATTTGTTGATTGGTACATAGGTTGTTTCCAACTCCTTGCTATTGTGAACAAAGCTGCAGTAAACATGGGTGTGCATAATCAATTCTTCTTTTGTCATCCTTATTCATGGTCACCCTTGGTAGACAGGTTTTAGTAGAGCTCCCAGATTAAGACAGAGTAGGAAGAAGGATTGGCCGTCAACTTCTTAAATAGCAGACCTCTGAAAACCCTATGGATGATAGAGGAACTTCTTTGCTAGTTACAGAAAATTCCTTAGGTTAAAACAGAGAAAAATACCATGTCCCCTAAAAAGAGGCAGTGACTAACAGTGCTAGCCCCCTGACTGAGCTAGTGGAGAGGAGTGTAAAGTGTAGTGTGGACAGCCAGTAATGTCTGTTGTCAATTTTCCAAAAATGTAGTAATAATGTAGATCATTAAGCTAGATTTTAGGCACTTTTCTTGGTGTTTAACATATCTAATTTTCACAATAACCCTATAATATCCTTTTTATTATTCTCATTCTACAGTTGAGAAACAGGTATATTGCTGCCATGTAGCTTGCCCAATGTCACTGAGCTAGTAAGTGGTGGAGTCAGGACATGAGCCTAACCAGTCTGACTTCAGAGTCTTCATTCCTGACCATAAGCCACATGAAGTTGCTCTTGAAATCCAGAAGTATGCATACAGTGAAGCTCTTAAAAAGGAATGTCTAAAAGGAGTCTGAGAGTCTGTCCTAAGAGAAGAGTACTTTCTGCTGGATCGGGATTCAGTATGTATGCCTAGATTAGTTCTGGATTGTGGATGGGGCAGCATTATTTGGGAAATTATGAAGTATCAGGGCAAGAGCCAGACTGCTACTCAGAAACCCTGGCAGCGCAGGCCTGAAATCCCATGTTTTGAGAAGCCGTCTAGGTGATTCTGCTGCAGATTAAAGCCAGAGCTGTGGGGGAAAAAGCCACTAAAAAAAAAAAAAGAGCTGAGAGTAGCAGAAATAAAGAGGAGAAATCTGCAAAGATTGAAGATGATAAGTCTGAGGAAAGGGGAACAATATATATTCTTATAAGAGCCAGAACAGACAGAAAAGGATAACCACATATGTATATTTGTGATTTAAATGACCTCGGAGATGGAAAATGAGATCTATTCGATGGATAGATGTTAAATGTCAGAGAGATCTCATCCATATCACTGTAATTTCTGTTGGGTCTAAAGGAGGATTGAAAAGTCTGAGCTCAGGCTAGTGGGGACAGGTTGGCAATAGCTAGATGAACTAAAGCCATGAAGTTTAGTAGACAGGTGAGAGGGCTGTCATGCGCAGGGACATTTAAGTTAGTGCTTTGCACTTGAATCAAGCTGACTAAATAACACGAACTGCTTTTATGAGATGCCTCAGCCTATGCCATTCAAATCTTAGTTCTTTTACTTGTAACTGTCTAGTTGAATGTCTAAAGTGAATATACTGGATGGACTGAGCCTCTTTGGGTGGTGATGGGGTAACACTAAAGGTGAAATGAAAGGTTAAAGGTGGGGGTGAAATCTCATGCCTGTACCTTCAGAATGGCAGTAAAGAACAAATTAATGATTATCTAGCACATAAAATTAGATGTCCCGTTTTATGTTGTCATAATTGGGTGAAGTTCCTCTTCGCATCTCTTTTATTTACCAGTTTGTTGATATAAATTATATGCCCAGAAAAATACTCCTCACTCTTTTGCCTTGTTCTGATTTATATTTATTTTTAGCACCAGAAAAGTACCACTGTAAGCCATGAGATGTCTGGTCTGAACTGGAAACCCTTTGTATATGGCGGCCTTGCCTCTATCGTTGCTGAGTTTGGTAAGAATGTGAACATTGACGACTCTGCTCCATATGGTATGAATGGTAGTTAACGATGACATTTCTTTTATTCTTGAAAACTAGAGAAAAAAGAGGCGTTCGCCTTACTTGTTTCAAAAGTTACTGCTCAAAGGCATCAGGTAATATTTTCTGAGAAAGTCCTACCAAGGTATACATTGGAAATATTGTGAGTTCAGTTTCTAGACCAGTGTCCTCGAGTAAATACTGCAATTTCACGTGAAATTTTTGCTTTCATAGAACACATGCAAGTTATGTTGACACTATCATGTAGTCTATAAAGTACACAATAGCATTATGAAAAACTTTGAAATATTGTGACAGTTACCAGAAGTATGGTGCAAAGATACAGAGTGAATACATGCTGATGGGAGAGTTGCTTGAGGCTGGGCAGCCACAGACCTTCAATTTGTTTTTCAGAAAATCAGCAATATAGCAAGCATTTTAAAAAAGCAGAATAAATTTACTTGTGAAGCAAAGGAAAGAAGATATGTCCATATGTAATGCTAATAGCAAGAACTTTGGTGGCATAGTCCCTGATGAGTTGTGTAACTAACCAAAAGGCCATGTGTGGCCATGAGTGGTTTGAATCTACTCCTGTTAAGATTTTTTTTAAACAATCACATAAGAGAGCGTTTATTGGAGATTTAACATGAAATCATACACATAAAATTTGAATAAACACAAATCCACATCTAGTCAAAACACAGATAGCAAAGGACAAATTAAAAACAAAGAAAACTGATTGGCAGCTATATATAGTTGGACACAATTATGTGTTGTTCACTAGAAAGTCTCTTACAAAATAATCATCTGAGATCAATAGAAGATTAATCTTCAACATTGTCCTGCATAATGAGTTACTTTAGCAACTCCTCCTGTTTTTGCTGGTGACTTTCTTTAGTATGGTTGGTAATTGTTTTGGTGATTGCTACCTCCTCGAGATGCCTTGCCATGTGTGCTCTGTTGGCCACTGTAGTCTGCATATCCCTGTCCATATCCATAGTTATACCCAGTATAATCATAGACACCATAGCCAATATAGTTTTGATTGCCACCATAGGCACTATTGTAATTTCCATATCCTTGATCATAATAGGTATTAAATACTTGCTTCCAGTCTTGGCCCTGACCTCGTCCACGACCCCTACTACCACCTCTCCTACTACCCTCAGCACCTCTTCCTCCTTTCTGTTGCTGCCTATATACCTCTTTGGGTTGTGCAACTTTGATTTCACACTTCGCAGAACCAATTCGATGATATCTACTTTCTAACAATTTCTTTACTGGCTCTTCATTTGTATATGTGATAAAACAAAATCCTCTTCTTTGTTTTGTTTTTGTATCCACGGGAAATTCAGTATTTTCAATCTCTCCAAAAGTGCCAAAATATTCTTTAATTTGCTCTTCAGAAGCATCTGGGCTCAATCCACCTACAAAAACCTTTTTTGGGGGTTCCTTCCCTTTTAAAGCTTTAGCTTTTTTGGGGTCTATAAATTTGCCATTCAGCTTGTGTTCTTTCTGTTCCAAAACCTTATCAACACTAGCAGCATCTTTGAAAAGTACAAATCCAAACCCTCTTGACCGTCCAGTGACTGGATCTGTTTTAATCGTACAGTCTACCACCTCTCCAAACTGAGACAAATACTTAGTCAGATCTTTCTTGCTTGTATCCCAGCTCAAGCCTCCAATAAACATTTTACAGTCATCTTGCTGATTCTTGGTCTCATTGATCTTGGATCCCTCTACGAACTCTTCTTTGTTGACATTCATGTTCTCCATTGTGGCAGAAGCATGGGCAGGGTGGTGCTGGTGTGTGGACAGTGTCACAGCAGCAGCGATGGTGGTGGAGTGTTGTATGGAGCTCCTGTCAAGATTTTTACAGCCTTGGAAACCTGATGGAATGTGTTGGAACTGACTCCTTGGGAGAGAGAACAATGAAGAAGAAAAAAATAATCGGATTTAGAAAGCTTTCTTGTTATTCCAATTTGTTAATTGGTCAGGCTTAAATAATATGCATGAAAATATAAGAGGAATTGGATACAACAGAGAGTTCAGCTCCATTCAATTACTGATACTCTCTCTTTGATATTGTTTATAAATTCTTCTTTTTTTATTTTCATACAATAATTCATTCACATTGTGTTTTATTTATGTACATATGATCCCTCATTTACATTGTGCTTCATACTATCATTCATATACCATATATCTCTAATTACCATTGACCGATGCCTATTATTATTATACTATCTTTTCCAGTCTTTATTGAAACTGTCTCATTTCCTTCCCCTCCGCAAAATCCAACAACTAAACTCTGCTATCCTAGTCATATGCACCCTTCCCCTTATTGTGGCCCCTTCCCCTTCTCTTGTTCCCCTTTTGGACACTTATGCACATCTTGGTGGTCATCCTTATGTTTTTACAATGATGGTCTTATGCTGTATTTGTCTT